TGTACATATATCAATAGTACAATTAAGTTTTATTTAAAGTTTTAAAGATCAAAATGGAAGCAGCAACAATGTCATTCTTAAAAGGTTTAAATATCATTCTTGGGTATCAACATCAACATCAAATCAGCAGCAAAGTCCTTCAACCAAAAATTTAAAGGTTTAAACATCAAAACGAACCAGTAGCATAAACCAAAAGTARACTAACAATGTCATTCTTAAAATTCTATAAAAGAAGAAGCATAAGTTCCAACAGTCTAGAAAAGCGTAAGTTTCATTCTTGTATAATCTTTAGGTAAAAGCTTGAGACATCAAGTTCTTGGTGATTGTCGTGTTTTTGGAGATAATATCTACACTTTTGGCGTTGGTTTATGTTGTCTTTTGGGACGAACGACATCAACATTTTCGACGATGTTTTTTTATTTCATTTTTCGTGTTTGTACCATTGCTTTTATCTGAAAAAAAAATTGTTTCATATATTAGTATATCATAAAACATATATTAGAGGTAATATGTTCGAAATAATATTGGTAGATATCATAGTTATATAAGAAGTAAATCAATTTCATATCATATGTATATCAAGTATATATCACATATATATCGAGAGTATATATGTTAATCATAGTTGTATTAGAAGTAAATCAATAGTATATAAGAAGTCAATCAGTTTTATATCACCTATAGTAGTAGATATCATAGTTATATAAGAAGTAAATCAATTTCATATCATATATATATCAAATATATATCACATATATATGAGAATTATATCTGTCAATCATAGTTATATCATAAGTAAATCAATAGTATATCAAAAGTCAATCAGTTCTATATCGCCTATAGTAGCATATATCATAGTTATATTAGAAGTAAATCAATTTCATATCAAATATATATGAAACATATATCACATATATATCAGGAGTATATCTGTCAATCATAGTTACATCATAAGTAAATCAATAGTATATCAGAAGTAAATCAATTTCATACCATATGTATATCAAACATATATCACATATATATGAGGAGTATATCTGTCCATCATTAGTATATCAAAAGTCAATCAGAAGTAATTTAGTGTTGGTTCGGGCATGCAGGGTATATTTGTAATTTATAACGTGGGCCTCCGTTTTTTTACCAAAAAAAAATGTTATATTTGAAAAACTCAAACGTTGTTGCTATTTTGCTTATTTTCCTAAAGTTGTCCTTTTTTTTTTCTTTTTTTCGCTTCTCTCTCTTCCTTCACTTCTTACCCTTCCTTCATCATCCATTTTCTTCGTTTCCCTCTCTTCCTTCACTTCTTCTCCTCCCCCTTCATCTTTCTTCATCTTCCATTTTCTTTCTCCATCAACCTTATTCTTCTACGACGAAGCGTGCCGTCGCCAACCACCAACATTAGTTGTAGTTTCGCTGCCGTCGTCGTCACTACTACCTATGGTCGCCGTCATCGCCCGCCGCCGAAGCCTCCATCTACGTTTCAGATCTGGTCGTTCAAGATCTGAAACAAAACGTTTAGATTTAGAATTGTTTCGTTTCCCCTCTCTAGATCTGAAACGAAATGGTCTAGGAACATTCAGATGTACGAAGTTTGAACCATTACGTTTCAGATATGAAGGCGGTGACCATGGCCGGCAGTAGTCGGCGGCGATCGGCGGTAATCGGTGGTAGCCGGAGAAGAAGAAAGATGCTGCAGAAGAAGAAGGAAGATGAACGGGAAGAGAGAAACGAACAAAACAAAAACATAATTAAACCAGTAGGAGTATGGTGGGAAATTAAATAAATAAACATACATGCAATTGCAATTGCAACGCAAGAAATGAAAGCAACAACAAAATGATTGAAGTTGATGATTTATTCATCGGATTGCTACCTGAACAGAGAAGAAAATCGCTTCCAACTAAATTTCGGAGACGGAGGAGGAGGCTGAGCTTGAGGCCGAGCCCAAGCTCGAGGTGGAGACGTTATCTTGCGCCGAAAGCATCCCATCAAATTCTCCATAGCTCCTCCACAGGACAGTGTATAGAATGGAACTAGATGGATGATGGATGATGGATGCTTTCTTATAGAGAAGACGAAATAGTATTTATTTCGAGAAACCG